CCGCCAAGGATAGCCAGAAGACGAGCCAGAACCCAACCCCGAACCAGAAAGCGCCTGTTTCCGCAGCGCAATCAGTAAAACCCGGTCAGACCGATAAGATCATCCAGACTCTATGCAGTTCTACGCTTTACAAGTTAACCTGCGAGAAAACGCTCAAGAACAGAACAGTGAAGGGTATTGCTTTAAAGAATCCGACAACCCTTTTGAAGTCTGCCATTGAAGCTATCAACAAAGATCTCGACATAGTGTTAGAGAAGGTCTTGAGTCTAAAGACTGAGAACCAGGATGATAAAGATGCGATTGCGCAATGTAAGTTGCTTGTGGAAGACGCAAAGGAAGAAACCCTCGCATCGCTGAACAAGGTCAACGGCACAGAAGTCAAAAACTTCGCAAAAATAGTTCCCGACCTGGACAGTTGGCTAAGCGCAGTCATGTCTTATCAAGAGACTTGTCTTGATGGGTTTGAGGAAGGAAACCTAAAATCTGAAGTAAAGAAGAGTGTTAATTCTTCTCAGGTTCTGACCAGCAATTCCCTAGCGATGATCAAATCCTTTGACGCGAATCTCTCTCCCATTGCAAAGGTCGTCACAACAAGACTTCTTCTTGATCAAGTCCCGTCTTGGGTAAGCAATGAGGATAGAAGAATGTTAAGGGCTGTTGATGTGAAGGCTTTGAAGCCTAACGCAACTGTGGCTAAAGATGGCAGTGGAAATTTCACTACCATTAATGATGCTCTCAAAGCAATGCCTGAGAAATATGAGGGAAGGTATGTATACCAAATCTTTTTCATTACGTGACCATTACGTCAAATTATCTTTGCTTTAACTAAGTGTAGGTTTTTGTTGTGATTCAAATCTTTAGGTACATAATATACGTCAAACAAGGTGTTTATGACGAATATGTGACCGTTGATAAGAAAAAGGCAAACGTTACTATGGTCGGTGATGGATCACAGAAGACGATTGTGACCGGAAACAAAAGCCATGCAAAGAAAATCCGCACTTTTCTCACAGCAACATTCGGTAAATGAAACCTCTTTTCCAAGAAAATCTCGCATTGACAATAAATTAAGACCAAATTTAGTATATAAAGACGTAATCACGGATTTTGAGTTGAAATGCTATAAATACTTACATCCACATAAAAGCTTCATCAAACATAACTTAAATTAAGATTAGGGTTTACGTTCGAACTTCGAGGTTGTAAAAAAAAAACATTACTTGAATTTTGAAGTGTCAATGTGATTTTTTTTCTTTCTAAGTGCTTATTTTCCTTAATAGTTGCACAGGGAGAAGGGTTCATAGCACAATCAATGGGGTTCCGGAACACCGCTGGGCCAGAGGGACATCAAGCGGTCGCAATACGTGTCCAATCTGATCGATCAATTTTCCTAAACTGCCGATTTGAAGGCTACCAAGACACATTGTACGCTTACACACACCGTCAGTACTATAGAAGTTGCGTGATAGTCGGAACAATCGACTTCATATTCGGTGATGCGGCTGCCATCTTCCAGAACTGTAACATCTTTCTCAGAAAGGGCTTACCAGGACAAAAGAACACGGTGACAGCTCAAGGACGTGTCGATAAGTTTCAGACGACCGGTTTTGTGATCCACAAGTGTAAAATCGCTGCGAATGAAGATCTTAAGCCTGTCAAGGCAGAGTACAAGAGTTACCTCGGACGGCCATGGAAGAACTACTCTAGAACAATTGTAATGGAATCTACAATCGAGAATGTGATCGACCCGGTTGGATGGTTGAGATGGCAAGAGACGGATTTCGCAATAGATACCTTGTATTACGCGGAATACAAAAACAAAGGATCAAGCGGGAGTACAACTTCCAGGGTTAAATGGCCTGGAGTTAAGGTCATAAACAAGGAGGACGCTTTGAACTATACTGTTGGGCCTTTCTTACAAGGAGATTGGATCAGTGCATCAGGCTCTCCCGTTAAGTTGGGTCTTTATGATGCTTGATGAGAACTTGTTGCTTCCAAAAAAGGTTATTTGGTGACTTGTTTTGTTCTAAAGCGATTCAGAGAGGAATTATAATTGCATCCACGAAACTTTACTTGGAGAATCGGGTGCAAGATCATAGTGAGCTAAAAGAATGTGTTGTATCAAACTTATATGAATTCGTGCTTAAAATATTTTTGGAAGAAACCGTATTTTAAGTAATCACTTTAGGAGAAATGGAAAAACATATTATTACCTTTTCACAAAAAAATTATAAGCACATTGATGGTGACATGTTTTACCGTAGTTATGACCGCAGGTGCACTACTTCCGCAGTGGTATATTAAGAGGTGGACTGTCAGGGAGATTAATGGTTACACGACTATAAGAACAAAACCTAACTAAGGAAAAAATATTGCTTTTTGTTTATTAGCTATGATTAAAAACAGAAGTAAAAAAAACGAGAAAAATGTTGGATATAAGGGATATCACAAGAGATCATGGACTGTTTATGCAAAGAAATCAAACAAGGGAGTAATTTTGTGTTGGAACCATCTTGAATAAACAAATGGGCCATTTGGTAGGCATTTGGTTTGGTCAAAATAGGTCTAAGAGGTTGAATGAGAAATAAAGCCGGATCATGTAACTCCTCCCCTCGGCTATATAACA